AGCTCGTAGTCACGCTGAGCAGCGACGTGCAGCAGAACCCGAAGAGTGGTCATCTTCGGGGTCGGGGAGAAGGTCTGGAAGAAGTCAACTCCCTCTCGCTGACTGAAGCCTCGTGCAACGTAACGCGCCTTGAAGACAGGCGGAGAACCCGGCGGCCGCTTCACCCTGAAAATCCACATGCCACTGACGATGTTCGCCCCAGGTGGGGGAACCTCGTCGACGTAGGTGCCTGTGGACTTCCAGGATGCCATCTCTGCGTCCATGGCTGTCTGCCACTGAGAGGAGTAGAGACCCTCCATCGCCTCTGCGTAGGAGCGTGGGGTCGGGATGTCTGGTGCATCCGGGTCTCCCTCAGGGGCAATCAGCATGGACACGAGATGAGGTAAAGTAGCAACAAAGCACTCAAACTCCTCCTGTCTGTCCTCAAGGACGTCCGTGCCAAGAGCACACTCACCCCCGACGGACGGAGGACAGACAGACTCAGACTCAGCAACAAGGCTGGCGGCGTAGTCTAGACGACAGGCGGCAGCAAAGTCAACAAGCTCAGCGACTAGAGCAGACGCAGCAGAGGACTCAAAGGTAGGGTCAGTGACAACAGTGGCAAGGAGACGCGCGACAGTAGGACTGGACAGGCGGTGGACTCAGTAGGGGAGGAGTAGGACCAGTAGAGGGCGGGAGACCAAGAACCTGCTGAAGGAGCGGAACGTAGTACGGCCGCGGCCGCTCAGCAACTCCAGCTCCAACCCCCTCAGCAGCTCCAGTCCCAGCAGCTCCAGTACCTCCAGTACGAGCACCTCCAGGACCAGCGGCTCCAGCAGCTCCAGCACCAGCAGCACCTCCAGCAGCACCGCCAGTAGCAGCAGTGCCTCCAGCAGCTCCAGCACCAGCAGCACCTCCAGCAGCTCCAACACCGGCAGCACCTCCAGTAGCTCCAGCAGTACCAGCACCAGCAGCACCAGTACCAGCAGCACCTCCAGCAGCTCCAGCAGCACCTCCAGCAGCTCCAGCAGCACCAGCAGCACCGCCAGCAGCAGCAGCACCTCCAGCAGCTCCAGCAGCACCAGCACCAGCAGCACCTCCAGCAGCAGCAGCACCTCCAACAGCTCCAGCACCAGCAGCACCTCTAGCTCCAGGGTCCTCGACACTAGGAGCGCTACTCCTGAGACTGCAGCGACGAGCGTACCACTCTCGAAGCCGCTGGGGAGAGGGCAGCTCCCGCCTAGGAGGGGAAGCACGAGCACGAGCTCCAGCAGCAGCACTCCTGAGGCTGCAGTACTGTAAGTACCACTCACGCAGCTGCTGTGAGGAAAGAGCGCCTCCAGGTGAAGCACTCTCAGTCGCAGCACCCTCAGTCTCAGCACTCCCAGACTCAGCACCCCCAGACTCCGCACCCCCAGACTCAGCACCCGCAGGCTCCGCACCCCCAGACTCCGCAACTCCAGGCTCCGCACCCCCAGGCTCCGCACGCTCAGGCTCAGCACCCCGAGCAGGACGAGAGTCGACAGCTACCTCGACAGGCTCAACCGGGTCTACCTGGGACACACCTGAGGGAGCGGCACCCTGAGGGGGGAGGGGGTCTACCACAGAAGCACCTGGCACGAGGAAGAGAGGCGGGGGGGGGAGCGGGGCAGTGCGGTAGGGGAAGAGGCGGTAGTAGGGCACCGACTCGTCAAAAGTGACGTCCTGAGAGGGCAGGACACGGCGTGAGGTGGCGTGGTAAAACTGCCAACCAGACGCGTCCGGGACAAAGCCAAGGAAGACACAAGGAACAGCGCGGGAGGAGAGCTTGTCCGCTGACGTATCGCGGACAAAAGCTCGAGATCCCCAGACCCGGAAACGCGGCGCATCGCCAACCTCCCCCGTCCACAGCAGTGTGGGCGAGGTCTCCGGCAAGGAGACACGGGGCCAGAGGTTGAGCTGATGCGCAGCGTACCGGACCGCAAACGGCCACAGAAAGTGGGGGGCAGCCGCATGGATCAAGGAGGTACGAGCGACCTCCATGACCAAGCCAATGCGGCGCTCAGCATCCCCATTCTGTTGTGGAGAGGCCGGAAGCGTGAACGACTGGCGGATACCGTGCTCCGCACAGTAGGCCGCCAAGAGGTCGGAGGAGAACTCGCCACCTCTGTCTGAGTGCAGACGCAGAACAGGAAAGTTCGAGTGGAACCGCTCGCTGAGCTGGAGACGAGAAGCGCGGATCCAAGGGATCAAAACATCAGGGACCTCACCCTTGGTGCGCAATGGGAAGACCGTGGTGTAGCGCGAGTAGTCGTCAACAACGATCAGGAAGTACCTCTCCTGACCCTGTCCACGGACACGGGCTGGGCCCCACACGTCCATGTGGAGCGTCTGCAAGGGAGCAGTCGTCGGGGGAAACGAGGAGGAGTGAGGAGCGGCGCGCTGCCGCCCCTCGACACAAGGAAGACAGGGAGGAGCAGGCGAGGGTGGGAGGGGAGGGAGTACCCGGGGAAGACCAGAGACAAGGTACCGTTTGTGCATGGCACGAAGGCGCTGCACTGACGGGTGACCAAGGCGGTGGTGCCAGAGGACAGTTTCGAGCGCGAGAGAGCGACACGAGCAGGGGGCAGACAGCTGACCTGACGCAAACGCAGACGCAGCTACCTGAGGGGACTCAGTGGTCAGTGTGTACAGGTCCGACCCCTGCTGCCTAGTGAAGGTAGCCAGGTGACGGCCCGTCCGAGCACACGTGCAGTGTGTCACGCGCTCGTAGGCCGGGGTGAACTGGTGGACACCCCCGTCCTGGAGCGCACAACCCGCCACCAAGTTCGTAGAGAACGAGGGGAGGTGGAGACCGGACAGTGTGCCCGACGGAACCGCAGGACAAGGAAGGACAGTGGAGGAGGTCGCAATGACCGGACCCCCAGAGGGGTCAGCAAGGGAGACAGCAACTGGCCGGGCAAGCTGCTCAAGGGCAGTGCGGTCACGAAAGAAACAGCGGGAAGCTCCTGAGTCTAGAGTGAAGGTGTGCAGTGCCTCAGTGGACTCAGTACCAGGGGGCGCAGACTCACTAGCACCTAGAGCAGCAGCCTCACCAGCACCTGGGGCAGCAGACACGCAAGCACCAAGAGCAGCAGCCTCACCAGCACCTGGGGCAGCAGACACGCAAGCACCTAGAGCGGCAGCCTCACTGGTCCGAATGCCCGGGTCGGGCGGAACACGCAGGTACTGATCACCCTCTCCACTAGTAGACAAGACATACATGGCAGTGAGAATAGCATCAAAGTCAAGAGCATAGATATCAATGTTCTTCTTCATCAGGTCAGCCCAGCGGGGCAGCTCAGTGGCAGCAGGGAACTGAGTGCGCCAAGCGTCGTCAAGGCGGGAGAAGCAGCGCTGCGTGGTGTGCGCCCTCCCACACGTCTGGCCAGTGCGGTCACCAGTGCGGATGACGTACGTACAGCTAAGGCCACCCCCCCCCCCGTGCTGAGAGTACCACTCACGAAGCTCCTGGGACGACGGAGTGTGCTGCTGGCTCTGGCCACCGCCAGCGCCTCCACGACCACCACCGCCGCCGCCACCACCTCGACCACCACCGCCTCTGCCGCCTCCGCGTCCACCGCCTCCCCAACCACCGCCCCCACCCCGGCCACCTCCTCCGCTGCTGCCGCCTCCACCCCCACCGCTGCCACTAGCCCCTCCAGTCCCGCCACCACCCCCACCACCGCCACCGCCCCCACCACCACCTCCCCCGCCGTCACCTCCACCTCCCTTGCCCCCTTTGCCCTTGCCGCTGCGGCGCCAGCTCGGAGCGGACGCAGTCCCGACCTGCTCAGTACCAACTAGGTCGACAGCAGCAGCAGAGGCGACAGAGGGGAGAAGGGGGGAAGGGGAACACCCCTCGAAGAAAGGGGTGCGGGGGTCGCCACGAGAGGCAGCTACAGCGACTATGCTAGTCTCGGCTGCAAGCAGTTCCTTCTCGAGCAGGTCTATGGTGAGCTCAATGGGGGAGCGAGCGAGGAAGTGGTCCCTGACCGCACGAAGAGAGTCAGGGAGACGGGTGACAAGGTGGTAGAGAGTGAGCCAGAGCGGGGGGGGGTGGGTGGCAAGAAACTCAGCGGGCATAGCGGCACGGAAGCGAGCCTCACTAGTGCGGAGGTGCGTGGTGAGGTCAGCGACTGTGGCGAAAGCGGACAGGTCTGGGAACAGGTAGGGGAGCGAGAGACGGCCTAGCGCAGCAGAGGCAGGTGAGGAGTAGCGTGCAACTACAGCAGTGTACAGTGCCTGCGCAGTTTTGTGCTGGCCAAAGTGCTCGCGCTCATATACCGGCAGGGAGTTGCGAATAGCAAAGCGAGCGTGGGCGTCACGAGTCTGCCACTGTGAACGGGCAGTGTTGTCAGCAGTAGCAGCAGGGGCAGCAGCATTGCCTAGCGCGTGATCGTACAGTGAGACATCCTCCTTGGCAGTGAGCTGGAGGAATAGGTGCAGGTCATCGAGCCAGGTCTCAAACTTCAGTGGGCGGCCCTCAGCATCAAAAGCTAGTACAGAGGGGCTAGCCATAGTTGAAGTAGCAGCAGTAGCAGTAGCAGGAGGAACAGTAGCAACTGTAGCAGTAGTAGCAGTAGTAGTAGCTGGTGGGGCACAGGTAGGCGGCGCGACTCGGCTAGGGCGGCGCGGTTCGGTTCGGGCGGCGCGGCTCGGTTCGGGCGGCGCGGCTCGGTTCGGGCAGCTCGGCTCGGTTCGGGCGGTTCGGCCTGGGCTACGTGGCGGGGCGCGACAGGGGGCGTGCGCGTGGGCGGCTGTAGCGGGCGGGCCGTGCTAGCGCGCCGGCGGCGGCCTAGTGGGGTGTCGCGGCGGCCTAAGAGCGGGCTGCGACCCTCTGGGCGGCGGGCAACGGGCGGCTAGGGGGCTGCTCGTGGGCGGCGACGGTCGCGCGGGCGGCTCGAGGGCGCTTCTAGCGGAACGGTGGGCCCTATCGGTCCTAGGTTACGACCTAGGCTCTGATACCATGTTAGAAAGTTGGAGAGAACGAGAATGATTGACTAGCAGCAGAATGACTGAGTATGCAGGGAGAGGCGTACTGAGTATGCAGGGAGAGGCGTACTGAGTATGCAGGGAGAGGCGTACTGAGTATGGAGGGAGAGGCGTACTGAGTATGGAGGGAGAGGCGTACTGAGTATGGAGGGAGAGGCGTACTGAGTATGGAGGGAGAGGCGTACTGAGTATGCAGGGAGAGGCGTACTGAGTATGCAGGGAGAGGCGTACTGAGTATGGAGGGAGAGGCGTACTGAGTATGGAGGGAGAGGCGTACTGAGTATGCAGGGAGAGGCGTACTGAGTATGGAGGGAGAGGCGTACTGAGTATGGAGGGAGAGGCGTACTGAGTATGCAGGGAGAGGCGTACTGAGTATGGAGGGAGAGGCGTACTGAGTATGCAGGGAGAGGCGTACTGAGTATGCAGGGAGAGGCGTACTGAGTATGGAGGGAGAGGCGTACTGAGTATGGAGGGAGAGGCGTACTGAGTATGCAGGGAGAGGCGTACTGAGTATGGAGGGAGAGGCGTACTGAGTATGCAGGGAGAGGCGTACTGAGTATGCAGGGAGAGGCGTACTGAGTATGCAGGGAGAGGCGTACTGAGTATGGAGGGAGAGGCGTACTGAGTATGCAGGGAGAGGCGTACTGAGTATGCAGGGAGAGGCGTACTGAGTATGGAGGGAGAGGCGTACTGAGTATGCAGGGAGAGGCGTACTGAGTATGCAGGGAGAGGCGTACTGAGTATGCAGGGAGAGGCGTACTGAGTATGCAGGGAGAGGCGTACTGAGTATGGAGGGAGAGGCGTACTGAGTATGCAGGGAGAGGCGTACTGAGTATGGAGGGAGAGGCGTACTGAGTATGCAGGGAGAGGCGTACTGAGTATGCAGGGAGAGGCGTACTGAGTATGCAGGGAGAGGCGTACTGAGTATGGAGGGAGAGGCGTACTGAGTATGCAGGGAGAGGCGTACTGAGTATGCAGGGAGAGGCGTACTGAGTATGGAGGGAGAGGCGTACTGAGTATGGTGGGAGAGGCGTACTGAGTATGCAGGGAGAGGCGTACTGAGTATGGAGGGAGAGGCGTACTGAGTATGCAGGGAGAGGCGTACTGAGTATGCAGGGAGAGGCGTACTGAGTATGCAGGGAGAGGCGTACTGAGTATGGAGGGAGAGGCGTACTGAGTATGCAGGGAGAGGCGTACTGAGTATGGAGGGAGAGGCGTACTGAGTATGGAGGGAGAGGCGTACTGAGTATGGAGGGAGAGGCGTACTGAGTATGGAGGGAGAGGCGTACTGAGTATGGAGGGAGAGGCGTACTGAGTATGGAGGGAGAGGCGTACTGAGTATGCAGGGAGAGGCGTACTGAGTATGCAGGGAGAGGCGTACTGAGTATGGAGGGAGAGGCGTACTGAGTATGCAGGGAGAGGCGTACTGAGTATGGAGGGAGAGGCGTACTGAGTATGGAGGGAGAGGCGTACTGAGTATGGAGGGAGAGGCGTACTGAGTATGCAGGGAGAGGCGTACTGAGTATGCAGGGAGAGGCGTACTGAGTATGGAGGGAGAGGCGTACTGAGTATGCAGGGAGAGGCGTACTGAGTATGGAGGGAGAGGCGTACTGAGTATGGAGGGAGAGGCGTACTGAGTATGCAGGGAGAGGCGTACTGAGTATGCAGGGAGAGGCGTACTGAGTATGGAGGGAGAGGCGTACTGAGTATGGAGGGAGAGGCGTACTGAGTATGCAGGGAGAGGCGTACTGAGTATGGAGGGAGAGGCGTACTGAGTATGGAGGGAGAGGCGTACTGAGTATGCAGGGAGAGGCGTACTGAGTATGCAGGGAGAGGCGTACTGAGTATGCAGGGAGAGGCGTACTGAGTATGGAGGGAGAGGCGTACTGAGTATGCAGGGAGAGGCGTACTGAGTATGGAGGGAGAGGCGTATTGAGTATGGAGGGAGAGGCGTACTGAGTATGCAGGGAGAGGCGTACTGAGTATGGAGGGAGAGGCGTACTGAGTATGCAGGGAGAGGCGTACTGAGTATGCAGGGAGAGGCGTACTGAGTATGGAGGGAGAGGCGTACTGAGTATGCAGGGAGAGGCGTACTGAGTATGCAGGGAGAGGCGTACTGAGTATGGAGGGAGAGGCGTACTGAGTATGGAGGGAGAGGCGTACTGAGTATGCAGGGAGAGGCGTACTGAGTATGCAGGGAGAGGCGTACTGAGTATGGAGGGAGAGGCGTACTGAGTATGGAGGGAGAGGCGTACTGAGTATGGAGGGAGAGGCGTACTGAGTATGGAGGGAGAGGCGTACTGAGTATGGAGGGAGAGGCGTACTGAGTATGGAGGGAGAGGCGTACTGAGTATGCAGGGAGAGGCGTACTGAGTATGGAGGGAGAGGCGTACTGAGTATGCAGGGAGAGGCGTACTGAGTATGGAGGGAGAGGCGTACTGAGTATGGAGGGAGAGGCGTACTGAGTATGGAGGGAGAGGCGTACTGAGTAAGCAGGGAGAGGCGTACTGAGTATGCAGGGAGAGGCGTACTGAGTATGGAGGGAGAGGCGTACTGAGTATGCAGGGAGAGGCGTACTGAGTATGGAGGGAGAGGCGTACTGAGTATGGAGGGAGAGGCGTACTGAGTATGCAGGGAGAGGCGTACTGAGTATGCAGGGAGAGGCGTACTGAGTATGGAGGGAGAGGCGTACTGAGTATGGAGGGAGAGGCGTACTGAGTATGCAGGGAGAGGCGTACTGAGTATGGAGGGAGAGGCGTACTGAGTATGGAGGGAGAGGCGTACTGAGTATGGAGGGAGAGGCGTACTGAGTATGGAGGGAGAGGCGTACTGAGTATGGAGGGAGAGGCGTACTGAGTATGGAGGGAGAGGCGTACTGAGTATGGAGGGAGAGGCGTACTGAGTATGGAGGGAGAGGCGTACTGAGTATGGAGGGAGAGGCGTACTGAGTATGGAGGGAGAGGCGTACTGAGTATGGAGGGAGAGGCGTACTGAGTAAGCAGGGAGAGGCGTACTGAGTATGCAGGGAGAGGCGTACTGAGTATGGAGGGAGAGGCGTACTGAGTATGCAGGGAGAGGCGTACTGAGTATGGAGGGAGAGGCGTACTGAGTATGGAGGGAGAGGCGTACTGAGTATGCAGGGAGAGGCGTACTGAGTATGCAGGGAGAGGCGTACTGAGTATGGAGGGAGAGGCGTACTGAGTATGCAGGGAGAGGCGTACTGAGTATGCAGGGAGAGGCGTACTGAGTATGCAGGGAGAGGCGTACTGAGTATGGAGGGAGAGGCGTACTGAGTATGCAGGGAGAGGCGTACTGAGTATGCAGGGAGAGGCGTACTGAGTATGCAGGGAGAGGCGTACTGAGTATGGTGGGAGAGGCGTACTGAGTATGCAGGGAGAGGCGTACTGAGTATGGAGGGAGAGGCGTACTGAGTATGCAGGGAGAGGCGTACTGAGTATGCAGGGAGAGGCGTACTGAGTATGCAGGGAGAGGCGTACTGAGTATGGAGGGAGAGGCGTACTGAGTATGCAGGGAGAGGCGTACTGAGTATGCAGGGAGAGGCGTACTGAGTATGCAGGGAGAGGCGTACTGAGTATGGAGGGAGAGGCGTACTGAGTATGCAGGGAGAGGCGTACTGAGTATGCAGGGAGAGGCGTACTGAGTATGGAGGGAGAGGCGTACTGAGTATGCAGGGAGAGGCGTACTGAGTATGCAGGGAGAGGCGTACTGAGTATGGAGGGAGAGGCGTACTGAGTATGCAGGGAGAGGCGTACTGAGTATGGAGGGAGAGGCGTACTGAGTATGGAGGGAGAGGCGTACTGAGTATGGAGGGAGAGGCGTACTGAGTATGGAGGGAGAGGCGTACTGAGTATGGAGGGAGAGGCGTACTGAGTATGGAGGGAGAGGCGTACTGAGTATGGAGGGAGAGGCGTACTGAGTATGCAGGGAGAGGCGTACTGAGTATGGAGGGAGAGGCGTACTGAGTATGCAGGGAGAGGCGTACTGAGTATGGAGGGAGAGGCGTACTGAGTATGGAGGGAGAGGCGTACTGAGTATGGAGGGAGAGGCGTACTGAGTATGCAGGGAGAGGCGTACTGAGTATGCAGGGAGAGGCGTACTGAGTATGGAGGGAGAGGCGTACTGAGTATGCAGGGAGAGGCGTACTGAGTATGGAGGGAGAGGCGTACTGAGTATGGAGGGAGAGGCGTACTGAGTATGCAGGGAGAGGCGTACTGAGTATGCAGGGAGAGGCGTACTGAGTATGGAGGGAGAGGCGTACTGAGTATGGAGGGAGAGGCGTACTGAGTATGCAGGGAGAGGCGTACTGAGTATGGAGGGAGAGGCGTACTGAGTATGGAGGGAGAGGCGTACTGAGTATGCAGGGAGAGGCGTACTGAGTATGCAGGGAGAGGCGTACTGAGTATGGAGGGAGAGGCGTACTGAGTATGGAGGGAGAGGCGTACTGAGTATGCAGGGAGAGGCGTACTGAGTATGCAGGGAGAGGCGTACTGAGTATGCAGGGAGAACGTTGAGGAGACGAGGATTGGAGAGGGGATGGTAGCGAGCTTGAAGTCGCACGGTGACATGGCAGCTGACGTGGCAGCAGATGACGTGGCGACAGATCGTGCTGAGAAGCTGAGGAAAGGGAATCGGGAGAGGAAATAGAGACACGTCTAAGGGGGGGGGGGGGGGGGGGAACGAAGGAGGGGACATGTGAACTGGGAAGATGGGAACGGTGATTGAGCTTAGCTTTCAGTTGCAAGGTCATGATGACAGCATGGCATTACAAAGAAGGTACCGGGTATGACACTGCACCTGCGACATGCACTGCAGCTGCCTGGCATGGCATGGCAGACACCCATATGACAGCATGGCCTGGCATAACATGGAACGGCACAGCATGGCACGGCGCGGCACGGCATGGCATGGCACGGTGCAGCATGGCATGGCATGGCATGGCATCGCAGGGCATGGCAAGCGCATCTGACTGGCTGGAGAAGGAGGAGATGTGCAGCAGAATGAGGTCGGTGGGGGGAGGGGGGAGCAGGGAGGTGAGCAAGGCGGGCGGAGATAGTGGGGAGATGTGCAGCAGGATGAGGCATGGCAAGGCACGGCACGGCATGGCATGGCATGGCATTGTGATGGCATCTGACCGGCGGGAGAAGGAGGAGATGTGCAGCAGAATGAGGTCGGTGGGGGGAGGGGGGAGCAGGGCAGCGAGCGAGACGGGCGGAGATAGTGAGGCTGCAAGCGAGCGCAGGGCCTGGTGGGGAAAAGTGGGTGGAGAGGGATATAGAGGGGTGAAGGAAGTGAGGTGAGACAACAACGGTGGTACAAAGGGGAAAGCCGTACAACTGGGCTCTATGGCTTCCCGCAAGCCAGCCAGCAAGCAAGAAGAATGAGGCATCAGAAGGCATGGTAATGGATGGCACAGCACAGCGACTGCTTCACTTCTGAAAGTCAAAGGAGCGCTCTGCCTTGCGTTTAGGAGTGCTCTGCCGTGCAGTTGGGAGGGAACTTTCACCTGCAGCAAGGAGGGTGCGGCGTTGCTATAGGCGGCATCGGAGCAGAAGGCGTACACCCCCAGCACGCCCATGCCTCCCAGCAACAGCCGCGACACCTGCCCATGCGGGGGAGGGGAGATGGGCGATGCAGGGCGAGAGGAGCAAGCAATGGCAGGCAGCATCGGAGCAGAAGGCGTACATCCCCAACACGCCCATGCCACCTAACAGCAGCCGTGCCACCTGCCACAAGGGGGGGATGGGAAGGAGAGAGATCGGCGGTGAAGGGCGAGCGAGGGAGAGATAGGTGAGGTGATGCAGGGCAAGAGGAGCAGAAGGCGTATACCCCCAGTGCGCCCATGCCTCCCAGCAACAGCCGTGACACCTGCCACAGGAAGAGATGGGGAGGGTGGGGGGAGAGAGGCGACGTAGGGTGACTGGGAGAGGGAGAGATGGGTGGTGCAGCGTGAGACGAGCAAGGGATCGCAGGCGGCACATGTGCAATGCAAGGCGTGCATCCCCAGCACGCCCATGCCTCCCAGGAGCAGCCGCGACACCTGCCACAGGGGGAGATGGGGAGGGAGGAAATAGGTGACGCAGGCAGGGTGAGCGGAGCAAAGGAGTGCAGGCGGCATATGTGTGCTGACATGTCACATGCATGCATTTGGATGAGGGTCGTGCAGCCCAGACGCAGGCGCGGTACCTGCAGCAGGGTGAACAGGGGAGGAGGGACGGGGCCAGGGGAGTGACGCATGGTTAGGGGAGCAAAGGAGTGCACGCTGCATTTGTGTGCTGAGATGCATGGATGATGGTCGTGCGGCCAGACGCAGGTGCGGTACCTGCAGCAGGGTGAACAGCGGATGAGGGACGGAGCCCGGGGAGTGAAGCAGACGACACGACCCATTTATGCACATGGCAGGGAGGGAGGGACTGCCCTGACAGCGGATGTGAGGGATTGCATGGCAGCTAGGAGGAGCAGGAGATGGAAGTTGAGAACTTGAGACCAGGGAGGGTCTGGAGAAGGCGAGTCATGGCGAGCGGAGGAGGGATCGGGGAGAGAATAGGGGAAGGGGAGGGGAGGCAGAAAGATAATGATCACAGGGACAAAGTGAGGACGCTTCACTTGAAGGATAAGTTCTGTGCCTCGGAAAGACCTAGGACACTCACACGTGGTAACGAGCTCACATGGTAACCAGCCCACATGGTAACCAGCCCACATGGTAACCAGCCCACATGGTAACCAGCCCACATGGTAACCAGCCCACATGGTAACCAGCCCACATGGTAACCAGCCCACATGGTAACCAGCTCACATGGTAACCAGCTCACATGGTAACCAGCTCACATGGTAACCAGCTCACATGGTAACCAGCTCACATGGTAACCAGCTCACCTGCAGCGCGTGTTCCGCCACCCAGTCGCCGTCCACATGCCGCCACTCTCTCGCATCCGATGCTCTCCTCTCTCTGCTGCCCGCAACTGGCGCCGCCGCTCCTGGCGCTTCGGGCGTCGGCACGAGCGCGAAGAGGATTTCGCGGGAGGCGCCGGATGCGGCGGCGGCGGAAGAGGAGGAGGAGGAGGAGGAGGAGGTCGATTGAGAAGCAATGCTGGAGCGGCCGATGAGCAGACCCAGCTGGTGGGGGCCGATGAGAGAGAGGCACATGGGAATCGAACAAGTTTACGGTGAATTAAGTGAATCAGTTTGACGCCGTTTCGGACTCTCTGCAATTTGACATTATACCGTCTGAACGCGCCAAAGGATCGGAATCCGTCGCAGCGCGAATGCGTACATATCGCTGGCCCCTCGCCCTGCCGTGTCTGAATTGAAGCGACACAATGCTACGTCCTCCTGCCGCGTCGCGTCGTACCTCCCACGTCGCCTTATCGCGGAAGAGCTTGTCCACGTGGCGCTGGATCGCCGCCTCGTCCGCCACCACCGCGCGCCCCATCGCGACCGCGCCTTACCGTTGCGCGGCTAACGCGCAATCGCGCCCCAGCGCAATTGAGTCTTCGCGGAGCTAGAGAAAAGGACCTCGGTGAAATGGCGGAAAGGACTTGACGAAAGGGAAGCGACCGGACCGGACAGGAAGCGACCCGACAGAACAAGAAGCGTCGGAACAGGAAGGGACGGGAAGAGACGAAATCTGGAGTGCGAAAGGCGAGGGATGGGACGAAACGGGTCGGGGCGGGGCGGGACGGAGATGGAAGGGACGGCAAGGGGCGGAAGGGGACGGGGAGGGACTGAAATAGGACGAAACGGTACGCGAGAAGGGCGAAAGAAGGGCGGACCGAGAAGGGGAAGGGACGGATCGGGAAGCGACAGGAATAAACAAATACGGGACGTGGACAGGAACGGGAGTGCTACGCCGGGACGAAACGCGGCGAGAAGGAAATGAATGGTTCCCACGGCGCGCGGAAAGACCTTGGAAAGCGTGGTTTTCAACTGTCTTTCAACTTTCCAGCTCCAAGAGTAGACGATTTCCTACATTCCTGCTCCAGCCAGAGCATCGCCTGGACCACGCGGACTTAGGGAGCTAGGTCGTTCACAGTTCATCCGTCGTGGCGCAAGACGGTGCACAGCGGTTTTCAAGCTTCACCTATATGCACCGCGACGCAACATGAGTAACCGCAAAAATCAAACGAGGGACGAACGCGCTGGGTAACCACGTGCAGGAAGTCAGACCATGCATACTGCGGGGGGGACCAGGGCATGGTGAAATGACATTTCAAGCCATCCCATCCCATCTCACGCAGCCAGACCCCCCCCTCCGTCCATTTCAGGTCTCAGCCACATCCCATCCCAGCCCAGCTCAGTACCCTGAGAATTCCACCGCCCTACCATGGCTCCCTTCCAACATCCATTGCAAGGCGCTCCTTTCTTCAGGCACACGCCACTCACCCACACCAAGCCTCTGTGGCGTTAGCCTGTGGATTTCGTACGTCCTCCTAATTCACCAGCCACTACGGTTAGTTCTTCCTTCCCCCCTCTTTCGTCTGCCAGGACAGGTTGCTCACTGAAAAACTTTTAGTCCTCGTAGGTCTATTGTCGTCCTCACAATAAGCTCTGACGAGGTTGTCACTCTGCTTTTTTAGTCAGATCAGCCACAATGTCAGACGAGTCTCCGATCCAACGGCTATCCGACGATTTGCTTGTCAAGATCCTGCACCTAGTTGTTCAACCCAACCAGCTCCTGCACGCTCTGGTGTGCACGAAATGGTGTGACGTAGCCTATTGCGTGCAGGACGCTATCCACGTAACCGATCGCCGTTTCGCAGACATCCCCCGTCGCATGAATCATCGCCAGCTGCTTGACGAGCTCGCGGCGTTTTCTAGTCTGAAGAAAATGGTTCTTTCAGAAGGATGTTTGTCCTTCGTACCGGACGTTTTCCTCGCTGGCCTAGCCCACTCGCACCCCCATTTGTGTAGGTTCAAGGCGGAGCTGGAACTCCGAAATCTCCGAAACTATGTGGATTGGAAAGGTTATAACCTAGTGTTGTTCAAGTAGAAGGCCTAATCTAGTGGACTGGAAGGAATATGGCACTAACTGCATCTCTACAAACATACGTAATGCGCTGGTCAGTTTGGTCGGTATGCGCGCCTGTAGTGCAGGTACCGTGTACGATTGGATTGTCAATATCTGCCAAATTACATAGATCCGATAGGTTAAAACATGGTAGGGGGGTGGGGAATGGTATAATTTAAAGGAAATGGGAATACATATGGTATTTGCTGTATTTGTACTGAGAGAATAATGCGTCATCCGGTAAGGTCGGTATGCACGCTTGTATGTATGTACAAGGCGGAGCTGAAACTCTGAAATCTCCCAAACTATGTGGATCGGAAAGGTTATAACATAGTGTTGTTGAAGTAGAAGGCCTAATCTAGTGGACTGGTAAGAATATGGCACTAACTGCATCTTTACAAACGTACGTAATGCGCTGGTCAGTTTGGTCGGTATGCGCGCCTGTAGTGCAGGTACCATGTACGACTGGAATGTCTATATCTGCCCAATTACATACATCGGATAGGTTAAAACATGGTAGGGGGGTGAGGAATGGTACTATTTAAAGGAAATGGGAATACATATGGTATTCACTGTATTTGTACAGAGAGAATAATGCTTCGGCTGATAAGGTCACTATGCGCGCTTGTGTGTAGGTACAAGGCGGGGCTAGAACTTTGAAATCTCCCAAACTATGCGGATCGGAAAGGTTATAACCAAGAGTTGTTGAAGTAGAAGGCCTAATCTAGTGGACTGGCAAGAATATGGCACTTACTGCATCTCTACAAACATACGTAATGCGCTGGTCAGTTTGGTCGGTATGCGCGCCTGTAGTGCAGGTACCATGTACGACTGGAATGTCTATATCTGCCAAATTACATAGATCCGTAGGTTAAAACATGGCAGGGGGGTGGGGAATGGTACCATTTAAAGGAAATGGGAATACATATGGTATTCGCTGTATTTGTACAGAGAGAATAATGCGTTGTCCGGTAAGGTCAGTATGCACGCTTGTGTGTAGGTACAAGGCGGAGCTGGAACTCTGAAATCTCCGAAACTATGCGGATCGGAAAGGTTATAACCTAGTGTTGTTGAAGTAGAAGGCCTAATCCAGTGGACTGGCAAGAATATGGCACTAACTGCATATCTACAAACATACGTAATGCGCTGGTCAGTTTGGTCGGTATGCGCGCCTGTAGTGCAGGTACCATGTACGACTGGAATGTCTATATCTGCCAAATTACATAGATCCGATAGGTTAAAACATGGTAGGGGGGTGGGGAATGGTATAATTTAAAGGAAATGGGAATACATGTGGTATTCGATGTATTTGTACAGAGAGAATAATGCGTCATCCGGTAAGGTCGGTATGCACGCTTGTGTGTATGTACAAGGTGGAGCTGAAACCCTGAAATCTCCCAAACTATGTGAATCGGAAAGGTTACAACCTAGTGTTGTTGAAGTAGAAGGCCTAATCTAGTGGGCTAGCAAGAATATGGCACAAATTGCATTTTTACAAACATACGTAATGCGCTGGTCAGTTTGGTCGGTATGCGCGCCTGTAGTGCAGGTACCGTGTACGATTGGATTGTCAATATCTGCCAAATTACATAGATCCGATAGGTTAAAACATGGTAGGGGGGTGGGGAATGGTATAATTTAAAGGAAATGGGAATACATATGGTATTTGCTGTATTTGTACTGAGAGAATAATGCGTCATCCGGTAAGGTCGGTATGCACGCTTGTATGTATGTACAAGGCGGAGCTGAAACTCTGAAATCTCCCAAACTATGTGGATCGGAAAGGTTATAACATAGTGTTGTTGAAGTAGAAGGCCTAATCTAGTGGACTGGTAAGAATATGGCACTAACTGCATCTTTACAAACGTACGTAATGCGCTGGTCAGTTTGGTCGGTATGCGCGCCTGTAGTGCAGGTACCATGTACGACTGGAATGTCTATATCTGCCCAATTACATACATCGGATAGGTTAAAACATGGTAGGGGGGTGAGGAATGGTACTATTTAAAGGAAATGGGAATACATATGGTATTCACTGTATTTGTACAGAGAGAATAATGCTTCGGCTGATAAGGTCACTATGCGCGCTTGTGTGTAGGTACAAGGCGGGGCTAGAACTTTGAAATCTCCCAAACTATGCGGATCGGAAAGGTTATAACCAAGAGTTGTTGAAGTAGAAGGCCTAATCTAGTGGACTGGCAAGAATATGGCACTTACTGCATCTCTACAAACATACGTAATGCGCTGGTCAGTTTGGTCGGTATGCGCGCCTGTAGTGCAGGTACCATGTACGACTGGAATGTCTATATCTGCCAAATTACATAGATCCGTAGGTTAAAACATGGCAGGGGGGTGGGGAATGGTACCATTTAAAGGAAATGGGAATACATATGGTATTCGCTGTATTTGTACAGAGAGAATAATGCGTTGTCCGGTAAGGTCAGTATGCACGCTTGTGTGTAGGTACAAGGCGGAGCTGGAACTCTGAAATCTCCGAAACTATGCGGATCGGAAAGGTTATAACCTAGTGTTGTTGAAGTAGAAGGCCTAATCCAGTGGACTGGCAAGAATATGGCACTAACTGCATATCTACAAACATACGTAATGCGCTGGTCAGTTTGGTCGGTATGCGCGCCTGTAGTGCAGGTACCATGTACGACTGGAATGTCTATATCTGCCAAATTACATAGATCCGATAGGTTAAAACATGGTAGGGGGGTGGGGAATGGTATAATTTAAAGGAAATGGGAATACATGTGGTATTCGATGTATTTGTACAGAGAGAATAATGCGTCATCCGGTAAGGTCGGTATGCACGCTTGTGTGTATGTACAAGGTGGAGCTGAAACCCTGAAATCTCCCAAACTATGTGAATCGGAAAGGTTACAACCTAGTGTTGTTGAAGTAGAAGGCCTAATCTAGTGGGCTAGCAAGAATATGGCACAAATTGCATTTTTACAAACATACGTAATGCGCTGGTCAGTTTGGTCGGTATGCGCGCCTGTAGTGCAGGTACCATGTACGACTCGAATATCTATATCTGCCAAATTACATAGATCCGATAGGTTAAAACATGGTAGGGGGGTGGGGAATGGTACTATTTAAAGGAAATGGGAATACATATGGTTTTCACTGTATT